GGGATGGTGGAGGACTACCAGCTGCCATACTTCAACATGGTGACCTCTGAACCCTCCTATGAGGACATGCTGGAGGTGGTTTGTGTTAAAGGCCTTCGGCCCTCCGTGTCCAACCGCTGGAACAGCGACGAGGTGAAACAGCAGATCCTGCAGGACGTTGGAATCTGTAACGTTGCTGGTCAGGAGGTTAAACGTCCTGTTGTTGCTTCCGCAGTGCCTTCGAGCCATGCTGAAGCTGATGTCAGAGTGCTGGGCCCACAACCCCGCCTCCCGCCTCACCATCCTCAGAGTGAAGAAGACTCTGGCCAAGATGGTGGAGTCCCAGGACATGAAGATCTGAAGCAGATCCTCGTCTTCCTCCTCCTTCCTCTGCTGCCTCCAGTTTCACCCGACTCACTTATCCTGGACTGGACCCGACCGGACCGGAGCGGAGCGCTTCTCCCAGGCTGCCTCCTTCATCTGCAGGAGGAAGAGGAGGAGAAACGGGGAGATGGGAGGAGCTTCCTCTGGGCGAACGGTGTTCCTCCTCCTCTCTTCCTCGTCTTCATCCAGATGAGACAGCGGCTCGGCGCTTTCTGTGAAAGCCAAACGGGACGTAAAAATCCTGAACTGAGACGAGATGAGCGGAGAGAAGCAGCCCAGTTCAGATGCTCCTTGTTCCTCCTGCCATCCAGGAGTTTATCTCCATCTCCCTGCAGCTTCTTCCTGAACCGACTCGGATCCTCTGAGGAAACTGAAACCTTTTAATGTCCAGGTCTGCCGTCCCGTTTCTGTCCACTTCCTGTGGGGTACGTGGGGGCGGGGCTTCAGATGAAGCTCCACCCATTATCTGATCCACAGGAAGTGGCAGGAGTCTGAGAACCAATCAGATCAAAGAATCCTGCAGGTTTTCATCACAAAGTCAGAATCAAATCTGAAAGTTTGAAATGAGTTGAACTTCAGAGGAACTGGAACCATCTGCTCCCCTCTGATGGACGCATGTTTGATTCGTCCTCTCTGGGTCCTCCAGCCTCCAGTTTGACCACCACAGACCCTGGAGCTCTAACGAAACCATCAGGCCCGTTTCAGCCTGGTTCTGCTCCGTTTCACAGATCAAATGTCTAAACACTCCAGAAGGTTCTGATCCCAATCTGTTTCTGCAGCTCTGCTAACGGTTTCCCTCCACTTCCAGTCTTTGTGCTAAGCTAAGCTAACAGCTCCCTGAAGCTGAAAATGTGGGACTGTCCCTTTAAGTGGAGCAGCAGGAGGCTGTGGTCGCTGCAGCGCCGTGTAAAAATAAAAGGCCAGAATAGGAAGAAGCTCTGGTGTTTCCTGTTGTTCTGTTGTTGTTTGTTGCTGCATGAGTTTAGCAGGAAAATGAAAAAACTCTCTTCATTCTGTCCAGGTCAGCAGTTTGGAAGTAAAGAAGCTGATTTTAGTCCAAACGCTGCTGGTGGGCTCTTCTTTCATTCTCAACGTGTTTCCACAATCATTTCTTACTGATTTGTGTTTCTAAAGATAAAACATCTCAAAAAGAAAATGGAAACGTTTCACTGTAAAATTAGTTTTTCTTTTAGAGTCACTGTTACATAACGCTCTGCTGTACTGAAAGCATTTTAATGAAATATTTCAACAGAAACACAAGTCATGACTCCTATGAAATGTTTTTGTGTGATGGTTGAATTCCCTCCACATGGTGCAGAGAGACGCCTGCAGGACTGAGTTTGATTAGTTAGTAAAAAATACATTAAGCAGGAATATCTTTAGCTGTTTGATTTCTGATAAATTATTATTTTTAATTAAATGACGTACTTTGAACCATTTTATGGATAATAATGTACACATTTAACTGCAGCGCAGCAGGAGGTCCTGAAGAAGCAAAACATCCAGGAAGCAATAAAATGACGTCACCAACCGTCACGTTCTGTGAGGGAGTTTTGACTTCCGGTTTGATTCCGAGGCTTTTAGCGGATCTTTTGTTTTCTAGCTCATCATAATGAACCTTTTCTGCGATGTTCATCATGTTCACATTATTGCAGTGACCAGCAGCTCGGTTTTATTCTGAAAAGCCCAGCCGGAAGTGTGTGGCAGCAGCGCTCCAGCTTGCTGCTGATGACGTCATGGGGGTCCGTCTCGGTCTGCGACATGACGCCTTCAGGCGGTGAAGCTCCGCCAGACGCTTCAGTCCCGAAACCCGCTTCAGTCGGAACCGACTGCTGCTCGGTGCTGGTTCCGGTTCCGGTCCGGGCCGGCGTTACTGGGTCACAGCGAGCTGCTGCCGGAAGGAACAGGCAGAGAGGACGGACTGACCTGTTGGACCGGGGGATTACAACCAGAACCGGAACCATGCTGGCCCGGTTCGGCTGAGGTTCTGTGAGTGAAGCTGCGGTTCGGGTCAGTCCGACCCACTTAGCCTCATGTTTCATTGATAATTAGCTCCATTGTGATCATTTAGGATCTGCATCGATAACTGGATGCTAATCAAAGGAGACTCGATCAGGAATCATTAAATATTCAAATCAATACAGAGAGATCGATTCACATCATCTTTAATTTCTATGTTTTTCTTTATTTCATCCTAATTTGTTTCTAATATTTAGTTCATGTTGATCTGATTTGATCTGTGGAAACATTCAGGAGGCAAAGATTGTCTGGTGGAGGCTCCTCATGCTGTGGGCTCGGCACGGTGGAGGCTCCTCATGCTGTGGGCTCGGCACGGTGGAGGCTCCTCATGCTGTGGGCTCGGCACGGTGGAGGCTCCTCATGCTGTGGGCTGGGCTCAGTTTGCCCCAGTTTTCTGTGATGACTCTTCCGCTGTCAGAGCAGGAAGTCGAAGCGTGACGGCAGATTCTCTTCCTGTTCTTCAGGAGTGGAGCGATGCAGCAGAAGTTGTGCTCCAGAGGTTCTGGCTCCTTCCTGTTGCAGAGGAACGGCCAGGCCTGCGGCGCGCTGCCGCACTCCGTCGCTTCCTGTGAGCTCCCGTTCCGATGCCCCCGATGTGGCGAGCAGCAGCGGTTCGGCAGCCTGGCCTCCCTGCGAGCCCATCTGGAGCAGCGCCACTCCTACCGCTCTCCGGACGCGGCGACTGGAGACTTCAGCATCACCGGGTCGCACCCCGACCCGCTGGTGGCCGCCATCGCCTGGCAGGACGCCAGCCTGCCGGCCCGTAGGGGGCAGCGCCGTGCCGCGCGGCCGCCTCACGTCCGCTCCCTGAGCGACAGCAGAGACGGCAGCGACCTGCAGACCTACGGCGCGGTGAGGAGGCGCACCCAGAGCGTCGGCGTGGGGACGCAGGAGGAAGGGGTGGATGATGAAGATACAGGAGAGGAAGCAGGAGAGACCAGAGACGGGTCAGAGGTCAAGCAGTCAGACTCAGGACGCCTCCATCACCTCCCGCTCCCTCCGGCGGACCCGGACCCGGTTGGTGAGTTTGTCCTCCGGCGCGTCTCCTCGTCCACCAGCAGGAAGTTGACGTCTCTTCTTCACCGCTCCACCAGCGCAGAGCTCCTACTGCGGCCGGGAAACGGCGGCGGCGGTGCGGCGGCGGCTGGCCGGCATCCTGCGGGCCGCCGACGGCACCATGCAGCGGCGCCTGGCCAAGGTCAGCACGGAGCTGGCCCGGACCGACACCGAGCTGCTGTGTGAGCGCGCTCACTGGCAGCACCTGGCGCAGGAGCGGCAGCAGGTGGCGGAGCGGCAACGATCGCTCAGCCAGCAGGTGGACGTGGCCGTCATGGTGATCGCCGCCCTGAGGGAGCAGCTCAACGCCTCCGAGAGCGAGCTGGAGCGCCGGGAGAGGTAGGTACCGGCTGGGTCCGGCTGGGTCCGGCGTTCAAACCGGCACCGGTCCCAGCGTCTGTGTTGACCTCCCGCTGGGTTTCCAGGGAGGTGCTCACCATCCAGAGGTTCCTGGACGCCGCCGCCCGCCAGGAGACGAGCGGGAAAGTCCGGATCCAGCGCTTCATCGAGAACCTGCTGGGTCGGATCGCCCTGGCGGAGAGGCTGGTGGAGTTCTACCAGGAGAACAACGGCGGGGCGGCGCCCGGTAGGGCGGCGTGCTGCCGCCACAAGGTACGGCAGCGCCCCCTGGTGGAGTTCTGGGTTGTTGCAGATCAGTTTTGGTTTTTTCCTGCTTTGATTTGCTGATTTTTCTCTCATTTCGTGTTTCTCTGCGTTTTGTCTGCAGCCTGATGACGGCCGACACAGAATCACTAAAAGCAGGTCAGACTTTCTTTGTTCTTCTGATCCAAATGTCAAAATGTTCAGATTTCAGCCCAAAACAACCAGATGAAGAACCTGGAGGTTCTGTTGGATCAGCAGAACCTGGAGGTTCTGTTGGATCAGTTCCATTTTAGCCGTAGAAACATAAACTAAACATTTCCTCCATCATTCTGGACACTGCCGTCCTCTGAGCCCACAGCATGATTGAGCCACCGCCGTGCCTCCTGGCTGGTTCTGCTGGTTCCCGACCCGGTAACCGTCTCTGATGTTTCCAGGTCCGCCGGGGGTCAGCTGTTCTCCGGTCTCCATGACAGCAGGACTCAGTCGTCCTGCCGGGTCGGCGGCGGGCCTCTGGGCTCCAAAGCGGGTCCGGACCGGGACCGGGAGCGCCAGGAACGCCTGGCCCAGTCCTCCAGGCTGTTCTGCCGACCGGAGCACAGGGATGACATCTGGAACCAGCAGCGGCGCGGTCCACCGGGTACGAGGCCTAGAACTGTAGGCCGGCCCAGACAGACGGGCCTGAACAGAACCGGCTTCCCTCGGTTCCTCTAGGCATCGGATCGAGTTCTGCTGGCACCTTTTAGTTCTGGATGTCTGCTGAAGTGAAGTGGACCGGAAAACAACCCGGTTCTGATGGTATTCAGAACCAACAGAAGGACCAACCGGACCAGTGTTCTGTTCTGGATCCAACCTCTGTAGGGCGGTTCTGGTTCTTATTCATCAGCATGAACCAATCGGGTCAGAACCAGAGTAGTTATTAATCACAAACTCTCCCTTTCCTCGGGTCAAACCTTCTCATTCTGACCCGGTTCTGCAGAACCTCCAGGAGTTCTGTTGCTTTTTCTGTCCAGTTTTCCAGAGGACGGATGGACGGATCCCGATCAGGTTCTGGTCCAGGTTCTGGTCCAGGTTCTGGTCCAGGTTCTGATCCCGGTTCTGATCCAGGTTAACATCCAGAGCAAATATTTTCCAACAGTAGATGTCAGCAGTGGTGGGAAACATCTCCGCTAATGTGCTAATAGCACAGCTAGTTTTTCATTTAGTTTAAAACATTAGCCTAGCTTAGATTAAATTCTCCTCAAATTTCAAATTGACTTTCAGTTGAATAAATTCATCATCTGTGTTCAAGTTTAGGTCGTTACTGTTAGCAAATCTTCAGGTGTTCAGACATTTACATGCCATTATTTTGAAGGATTGGAGACCGTTTCCTCTCCAGAACTTTTCTCTTTTCCTCCCAAGTATTTTTATGGATCAAAAAGAAAGAAACAACAAACAAACATCTGATTTCCTAGAGACAGCTGGTCGGCATCGACATGGTTGATATTAGCATGTTAGCTTCCACTTAGGCCATGTTGGTCTAGCATTTTAGCAGCAGCTCCAGCAAAAGCGCTTTAGCGTTAGCTTTAGCTAAATACATGCTGTTGTAGCCATTTAACATTAGCTTCTGCTAAAGACCTTGTTGTTGTAGCGCGTTAGCATTATCAGAACTAATGATTAGAATTATTGCTTTGTTGTTAGCATAGCCAACGATTAGCTAGCGGTGTCCACCATTAAAGGTTCTGGAAGAACCTAAAGAACTACTGACCCGGTCCAGTTTATCAGACCAGAGGAATGAGTTCTGTTGGAGCTGGTCGGGTTGATGGACCAGGAGCCAGCTGGGGAGAGGTTCTGGAGATGTTCCCGGACCTGTCCTCCAGAATGGACCGACCCGATTAGAGATCAGGTTCTGGAGCCGCAGCAGCGGTTTGGTTTGGGTCAGAAAGCACCGACTGGTACCGGGTCTGGGTCAGATACAACCTACATGAACTAACTGTTGGTCCGAGGCCCGGTTTGGTTCGGTTCTGGATGAAACGATTAATGGAGCCCAGAACCGTCCCGTACCAGAACGAAGCAGAACCTGACGGATGCCGGATGCTCTGAATGTTCTCTGGGTCTGAACCGGGCTCAGAACCAGAAACGGGTCACCTGCAGTGTTTCTGCCCTGATCCGATGAGTCTGCTCCTCCCAGAGTTCAACCGGCGCCGACCCGTGGTTCTGCTGACCCGGTCCTCATCACAGCGTCGGTGTTCAGCTGGTTCTGATGGTCCAATCAGAACCACCTCGTGAAAAATGGGTTTAAATAATCTAGAACCCAACAGAACCGGGAGAGAAGGTTTGTGTTCGGAACCGGCCGATCCTGATTGGAGAAAAATGTTCTGGATGTTTCCTTCATTCACAGGTTCTGGTTCTGGTTCTGGTTCATTAAATGTTTCTGTGTAAATAACGGGTCACCTGGCGGGTCACCTGATGGGTCACCTGGCGGGTCACCTGACGGGTCACCTGGCGGGTCACCTGACGGGTCGCCAGTCTGTCGCAGCCTCTCCCCCCCACCAAGTATTTCTGCTCTGATTTCTGGTGGAAAATCTTAATGCATTTGAAAAAAAGACTAAACTAATTCACTACGAGAGAAAAATGTTTTTACAGTGAAATTATCGACCACTCGTCATTTTTAATTTGGTCTTATTTCAAATGTTTTTGCAGTGTTCAATAATGTTAAGCAAATTTTCACCAACAAACTGAAATTTCCAGATTAATTTAAATAATTCTTGAATTTTTAATGATTTGGAAAATTTGCAAGAAAGAACAGATTTAAAATAAAACAAGCATAAAAATAGAACATTTCTGAACTAGTAATCTGGGTTTTCGTGGAGCTGATGATCTTTGATGTTTCTGCCTCAGAATCAGTTTAAATTTTTACATTTTCTCACTAATTTTAACTTTTTGACTCCAGTTTTTGTTTCGTGTAAATATGTGAAGCTAACTTATACATTTTTTGTTGTAAATTTTCTTCAATCTAATTTCGCCCTGATGCTTGGTGGTTCAGTGGTAGCCATGGTGACCCCTGACCTCTGACCTGAGCTCTTAGTTTTCTAGAAAGCTGTTGAATGTTTGGTGGAAGGTAGAAACCTGTGGCCTCCGTGGTGAAGCATGCTGTAGCTGCTGGTGTCTCTATATCCTGCTGTGTGTTTTCTAGCTGACAAACTTATTTTGGCGGTCTGAGCAGGAAGTTGCACTTTGCTGGTTGTTTTCACACCAGGAGACGAATGTCGGCGATCAGTCGCTGACTGGCTCTGATAAGAGAGGCCGCTGGGTTTCCATGTTGTGTTCGTGTCGTGTGTTCTTCCCTGGGCCGGTTCGGTCCGTTTGGACCCGGCTGGGAGGAGTAATCTCTAGTTTGGTGCCTTTGCTCCAGTAGTCTGTGAAACACTGTGAGGAGCTGCAGTCTGTCTGTCCTGATGTTCCACGGATTAAAGAACAAACATGAGACCAAACTCGCCGCCGGTTCTGACTCATTCGGGTTTCTCTGAACGTCTGCCGGTTCTGAAAGGTTCTGCTCACTTTAGTGAACATGTTGGTCTAAATGTGTCAGTTTCATCATCATGAGGTTCACAGTGCATGTTTTTCTAAAATACTGAATCACTTCATACCTGAAGGCGCCGGCGTCTTCCTGACCAATTAACCACATTTCTAATCAATCGAATGTCTGATAATCAATCAAGTCAATCAGTCAAACACAAACTGGGCTTCAACTCTAAGACTTTAAAACCTTTTTCATCTAAACTTTTCTGCAGGTGCAAATGCAGATCAATCATATTCTGGATGACGATGCAAATCTGTTTTCATATTGAATCTTTTAATGATCAATTATTGCAGCTAAACTTATTTGGTTCCAAGTTAAACCTTTTTTTTTATAGAAAGTACCACTCGTCTGCTTTTTACTGCACATTTTATATGAAGATTGACTAACGAAGTCTTCATACAGCAGCTAATGTAGCCATGGCTAACATTACCTTAGCCATGGCTAACATTACCTTAGCCATGGCTAACATTACCTTAGCCATGGCTACATTAGCTGTTGCTAAGTTAGCTAACCTGTAATAAGTAATAATCTGGGTTTATTAAGATTCATTTGTGTTTAATTGGCTCTGAATGTTTGTCAATTTTTGGCAAATGGATGAAAAACTGGACTTTTTTACTTCTTTTAGAAAGTTTGTGCTCACATTTTTGTTTTTCGTTATATTTGATATTTCGATAAACTGAATTAGTTTGTTTCCGTCTTCATCTTCCTCATCCTCATTTCTCCATTTTCATCCATTTCAATGATTTAAAGATGATTATGACTGTTTCTGCAGACCTAGCATACATCTTTACCCAGAATGCAATGCAGCATGAACGTGTCAATATTTTATTAACATTTACAAAAACTAAATAACCTGCAGTATCATTGCTGTATTGTTTTTACATTTAAATATTTCTCAAATCAAGTTAATAGTTATAGTTAATCCTTTGAAAGAAACCCGGAAGACAGAAACGAGAAGTCTGCAGTGGGCGGAGCCAAGATAGCATCTGGATTAAATGTCTTTGGGGCTTGCCATACCAGGTGCCGGAAGGTCTAGTGATCATTTGATGGATGGTCGGTGAGTTTCAGCTTCTGGTAGTTTAACATTTTCACAGTTACTGAAGTTCAGGCGCTGCAATAACAATAAGAATAACAATAATAATCAGTTATGAACGTGATGCTAAACGTTGCTCTGGTTGGTGTTATGTTTGTGTTTGATATAAATCAGACGTTGTGCTTCTTCTTAGATACTTTTATTAAAGTCGCTCTGGCTCCTTCGCTCATACAGGTTAAACAGATGCGTCACTAATGACTGACTGCTTCTGTTGTCCTATTCTTGACATTTATGCAATCACCTGTGTTCGTGACTGCCATCTAGTGGACATAAACAATTCATTCAATCATCACAGTTACCATCATGCGAATGCTGACACTGACACACTGATACACACTGATACACACTGATACACACTGATACACTGACACACACTGACACACACTGACACACACTGATACACACTGATACACTGATACACACTGATACACACTGACACACACTGACACACTGATACACACTGACACACAATGACACACTGATACACACTGATACACAATGACACACACTGACACACACTGATACACACTGATACACTGATACACACTGATACACACTGACACACACTGACACACTGATACACACTGACACACAATGACACACTGATACACACTGATACACAATGACACACACACTGACACACACTGATACACACTGATACACTGATACACACTGATACACACTGACACACACTGACACACTGATACACACTGACACACAATGACACACTGATACACACTGATACACACTGACACACACTGACACACTGATACACACTGACACACAATGACACACTGATACACACTGATACACAATGACACACACTGACACACACTGACACACACTGATACACACTGTGTAACAGGTTGGCCTTTTACGGCTGGATTTTTCAGTGCAGATCGATGATATCAGGCAGAGTTTAGGTGGAACAGCAGGTTTATTCCTCCCAGCATCACAAACAATGTCACACTCTTGTCTTACAAACATCTCAATGTCTCAATATCTCTCACAGGTGAAAATTGCAATCTTAAATAGTCCCAGCTGTGACAGTTAAAACAATCTGAAAATTCATAAGAGAATCCCATCTTACTCTGTTCCCCTTAATTGAATAAAATACATTTTACTATAACCACATCAACTTCCTTTTTATAAATATTTTTTATGTTTTAACCTTACCCTTACTAAAACACCATAAAACAGTACACCATAAAACAATACACCCCTCTCCCATTCTTCTCAATGGTCTCTCCCAGGACCTATCATTGTCCAGCCCCTTAGGACAATATTTGTCCAACATCCTGAGAGGACACATAAAAAGACAGGTGAGTCACTATATTAGCACATTCCATACCTAATAAATTATGCACATCATTTATTTAGTTTTATCCACCAATAGCTCATTGCTCTGAGTACCAATTCTCCTCTCTTCACAGTTAACCACCTCCACTGGCCAATGAGGAGCAGCTGTGAAGAGCCCAGAACAAAGGCTACACACTAATCACTAAAATACTCAATAAATACAATTAAAACTTCCTGAGTGCAAAATGTTAATTTATAGATCTACTTTGAAAGTGCAGTGCTAAATAAAGTACATAGTGAGGAAGTGCAAATGTTTTTACAGTGCTATACAATACATTGAATAAATTAATTCAGTAATGAAGGCCTCTTCATTACACACTGACACACTGATACACACAAACACACACCGACACACACTGACACACACTGATACACACTGATACACACAAACACACACCAACACACACTGACACACACTGATACACACTGATACACACAAACACACACCGACACACACTGACACACTGATACACACTGATACACACAAACACACACCGACACACACTGACACACACTGATACACACTGATACACACAAACACACACCGACACACACTGACACACACTGATACACACTGATACACACAAACACACACCGACACACACTGACACACACTGATACACACTGACACACACTGACACACACTGACACACACTGATACACACTGATACACACTGACACACACTGACACACACTGATACACACTGATACACACTGACACACTGACACACACTGATACACACAAACACACACCGACACACACTGACACACACTGATACACACAAACACACACACACACTGACACACTGATACACACTGACACACACTGACACACTGACACACACTGATACACACTGATACACACTGATACACACAACACACACCGACACACTGATACACTGATACACACAAACACACACTGACACACACTGACACACACTGATACACACTGATACACACTGACACACACTGATACACACAAACACACACCGACACACACTGATACACTGATACACACAAACACACACTGACACACACTGACACACACTGACACACACTGACACACACTGACACACTGATACACACTGATACACAAACACACACTGATGCACACTGATACACTGACACACTGACACACTGATACACACTGATACACACTGATACACACAAACACACCGACACACTGATACACTGATACACACAAACACACACTGACACACACTGACACACACTGATACACACTGACACACACTGACACACACTGACACACACTGATACACACTGATACACACTGATACACACAAACACACACCGACACACACTGATACACTGATACACACACACACTGACACACACTGACACACACTGACACACACTGACACACACTGACACACACTGACACACTGATACACACTGATACACACAAACACACACTGATGCACACTGATACACTGACACACACTGACACACTGATACACACTGATACACACTGATACACACAAACACACACTGATACACTGACACACACTGACACACTGATACACACTGATACACACTGATACACACTGATACACACAAACACACACTGATACACTGACACACACTGACACACTGACACACACTGACACACTGATACACACTGATACACACAAACACACACTGACACACTGACACACTGACACACACTGATACACACTGATACACACTGATACACACAAACACACTGATACACACTGACACACACTGACACACACTGACACACACTGATACACACTGATACACACTGACACACTGACACACACTGATACACACTGATACACACTGACACACACTGACACACACTGATACACACTGATACACACTGATACACACACACACACCGACACACTGATACACTGATACACACAAACACACACTGACACACACTGACACACACTGATACACACTGATACACTGATACACACTGACACACACTGACACACACTGACACACACTGACACACTGATACACACTGATACACACAAACACACACTGATGCACACTGATACACTGACACACACTGACACACTGATACACACTGATACACACTGATACACACAAACACACACTGATACACTGACACACACTGACACACTGATACACACTGATACACACTGATACACACTGATACACAAAAACACACTGATACACTGACACACACTGACACACACTGACACACACTGACACACTGATACACACTGATACACACAAACACACACTGACACACACTGATACACTGACACACACTGACACACACTGATACACACTGATACACACAAACACACACTGATACACACTGACACACACTGACACACACTGACACACACTGATACACACTGACACACTGACACACTGATACACACTGATACACACTGACACACACTGACACACACTGATACACACTGACAC